ATAGGTGGGAGGAAGGACAGGTTAGGGAGGCGGGGACGAGCTGGGCTGGTTTTGGGATGCGGTAGGGGGAGGGGAGATTTTGAAGCTTGTGAAGTCCACATTGATACCATTGGGCTGCAGGGTTCCCAAGCGGAATATGAGTTGCTGTTCCTGCAACCTTCGGGTGGCATCGTTGTGGCACTGCAGGAGGCCCAGGATGGACATGTCGTCTGAGGAATGGGAGGGGGAGTTGAAATGGTTCGCGACTGGGAGGTGCAGTTGTTTAGTGCGAACTGAGCGTAGGTGTTCTGCAAAGCGGTCCCCAAGCCTCCGCTTGGTTTCCCCGATGTAGAGGAGGCCACAACGGGAACAGCGGATACAGTATACCACATTAGCAGATGTGCAGGTGAACATCTGCTTGATGTGGAAAGTCTTCTTGGGGAGGTGTAGGGGCAGGTGTAGCATTTCCTGCGGTTGCAGGGGAAAGTGCTGGGTGTGGTGGGGCTGAAGGGGAGTGTGGAGCGGACAAGGGAGTCACGGAGAGAGTGGTCCCTCCGGAAAGCAGATAAGGGTGGGGAGGGAAAGATGTCTTTGGTGATGGGGTCGGATTGCAGATGGCGGAAGTGTCGGAGGATGATGCATTGGATCCGGAGGTTTGTGGGGTGGTACGTGAGGACGAGTGGGATTCTGTTTTGGTTGTTATTGCGGGATCAGGGTGTGAGGGATGAGTTGCGGGAAATGTGGGAGACGTGGTCGAGGGCGTTCTCGACCACTGAGGGGGGGAAGTTGCGGTCCTTGAAAAACGAGGACATCTGAAATGTACGGGAGTGGAATGCCTCATCCTGGGAGCAGATGCAGCGGAGGCAAAGGAATTGGGAATAGGGGATGGCATTTTTGCAGGAAGGTGGGTGGGAGGAGGTGTATTCTAGGTAGCTGTGGGAGTCAGTGGGCTTGAAATGGATATCGGTTTCTAGGTGGTTGCCAGAGATGGAGACAGAGAGGTCCAGGAAGGAGAGAGAGGTATTAGAGATGGTCCAGGTGAACTTAAGGTTGGGGTGGAAGGTGTTGGTGAAGTGAATGAACTGTTCGAGCTCCTCGTGGAAGCATGAGGTGGCGCCGATACAGTCATCAATGTATCGGAGGAAGAGGTGGGGTTTAGGGCCACTCCTATTCCGCTTGGGAACCCTGCAGCCCAATGGTATCAATGTGGACTTCACAAGCTTCAAAATCTCCCCTCTCCCTACCGCATCCCAAAACCAGCTCAGCTCGTCCCCGCCTCCCTAACCTGTCCTTCCTCCCACCTATCCCCCCCTCCCCCCCCAAGCCCCTCCCCCATCTCCTACCTACTAACCTCATCCCGCCCCCTTGACCTGTCCGTCCTCCCTGGACTGACCTATCTCCTCCCTACCTCCCCACCTACACTCACCTTTACTGGCTCCATCCCCGCCTCTTTGACCTGTCTGTCTCCTCTCCACCTATCTTCTCCTCTGTCCATCTTCTATCCGCCTCCCCTTCTCTCCCTATTTATTTCAGAACCCCCTTCCCCTCCCCCATTTCTGAAGAAGGGTCTAAGCCCGAAACGTCAGCCTTCCTGCTCCTCTGATGCTGCTTGGCCTGCTGTGTTCATCCAGCTCTACACCTTGTTATCTCTTTAACTTGCATGATCCTTCTTAGCTCTAAAAAAGCTATAAACAGCAATACGTTGGCAACCTTCATAAAATATAGTAACAGCTTCACCGGAACTTCTGAAAGTGCATTAAAAACAAATCAAAAATGCCTGGTTGATGCTTGTTTTATTTGGGTAATAAGCTTACAAACAGAAAATATCAACCTAAATGCACATTATGGAGCAACAATATGCAGGTTTCTGTTCAGAGTTCCCAGTCTCCTTGAGCCATTTGTAAAAGTCATAGTGAAGTAGGGGAAAATTTACAGAGCATCGAGCAAGGCCAGTTTCATATATTTTCTGACAGGAGGTTAAAGGGCAACTTTAGCAGGAGCCAAACATCAGGACTGTTGCCCACTGTTGGGCAGAGGACAATATGTATCTCAAAGAGACCTAAAAGAAGGTAGGAAGAGGAAAATAACTTTAAAAATCAGGTAAACAGTGCAAAAGAAACCAAAATTTTACCATCATAGGAAAGACAATTGCTGCAGGTGAGGCTTTGATGACCCATAGCAGGACCAGACAGGTGAGCTGTATGAGTGTAAAAAGGTGAACTTTGCGCAGAGGCACATGACGCAGGTAGATAAAATCTGGTTGGTGCTTGGCTGGCATCGCAAATAGTTGCAGACGATCAAAGAACTGGAAAAAGCAAGATTTAATAATTAAAAGGGTTGGTAATTTTCAAAAGATCAGGCTCATCCATAGTACTCATTACAAAAGTATATTGTGTTAAATTTGTAAAACCTTTATTAATAGTCTGAAATATCAGCCAGAGACAAGATTTTTGAATGAGGGATAACAAAATAAGCTACTGTACATCTTCAGGTGTAATGCAGTTTTCAGCTTTCCTAAATTGTTGTGTGAGGGGAGGAGAAAAAGTCTTAATATAAATAGGTACTAAAATATGTGCCACTCAATTTTGGGAATACATTACACTGAAAGACATTTGATACTTGAAAAAAAAATCCAGTTTGCCTGTTTGTCTTTTTCCTTCTACATGAAACCAATCGGTAATTTATTCTTTTACAAGGCAGAAGTAAATTCACAATGTCATTTCTAACAATGCTGAATATAATGTATGAAGAAAATGAGATTTTGTTTAATTTCCTATTTGAAGTGATATCTGTAAATTTGTTAAATTATACAAAGAACATTAACAATTCAAAGTCTACAATTATGAAACTCAACATTAAATAGCACAAAATTGTTGATTTGTTTGATAAAGCAGTTAAAATATTTTGGGTTCCAGAGAAAATAACTAATAGCAGAATATTTTCTTCATAATATTAAATATTATAAATTTCATATGGTGAGTATAATAACTGTACATGTTGCAGTGGAAAGTCTGTTTCCTGAATGTACTTCTCACCTGAATTCCTTTCAGTGATGAGACCCCCATGTAAAGAAAGACTCCATAAAGCACTGGCATCGGAATAAACTGTGAATATAAAGTGATTGCAAGTGTCACAAATGAAACTGGCACATATTGCTGGTCCACTTAAGCAATTTTTCTCCTGAGGTGACTCTTTCCCCCCTACTATACAAAATGATTTTACAAAGCGGATAGGTTATTGGTAATTCTATGCCAAGACTAATTTGTAACTATAGTAGTTTACAGCTTGAAAGGAACCCATGGCTCACTGCACATAACAGCATATATGACAACTATTCATGGAAATCCTACAATGTGGAAGCAGGCCATTCAGCCCATCAAGTCCACACTGACCCTCTGAAGAGCATCCTACCAAGATTTACCCCCCAACCTATCCCAGTAACCCTGCATTTCCCATGGATAATCCACCTAGCCTGCACACCCCTGGATACAATGGGCAATTTAGCATGACCAATCCACCCTAACCAGCACATCTTTGGACTGTGGGAGGAAACTGCAGCACTTGGAGGAAACCCACACAGACACAGGTAGAATGTGAAATCTCCACACAGACAGTCCCCTGAAGCTGGAATTGAACCCAGGTCTGTGGTGCTCTGAGGCAGCATTGTTAACCACTGAGCCACCATGTCACTCCTATTAGTATACAATAAATCCAAACTGATCTTTCCATCCTCTCTTCCAGCAAAACATCTTCCCCTTCACTCAGCATCTTTCCTGATAGTACATTCAAGGGAAAGATAATGGCATAGCAATAGTAATGTCACTGGACTTGTAATCCAGAGGCCCAGGCTAATGTTCCAGGGATATGGATACAAATGTCACTGCTGCAGCTGGCGGAATTTAAATTCAAATCATAAGTCTGGAATTGAAAATTGAAAATTGAAACTATCATCAATAGGTTGTTCAGTGTTTCAGAAGGATAGAGAGAAAGGAAAAGGAGGCGGTGTAGCTTCGTTAGTAAAGGTTGGATCAGTGATGTAGTGAGAAATAATTTTGGCACTGGAGATCAAGATGTAGAATCAGTCTAGATAGAAATAAGAAATAGCAAGGGAAACAAGTCCCTGGTAGGAGTAATCTATAGGTCCCCTCAGTAGTTCCACAGTAGGACACAGTATAAACCAGAAAGTAATGGAGATTTGCACAAAAGTTACAGAAAAAAATTATAGTTGATTTTAAAAACCAAAAGAAATGCGGATGCTGTAAATCAGAAACAAAAACAGAAACTGCTGGAAAAACTCAGCAGGTCTGGCAATATCTGTGAAGAGAAATCAGAGTTAACATTTCAGGTCCAGTGTCCAGCAACTTCTGCTTTTGTGGCTGATTTTATTAGGCATATAGGCTGGCTTAATGAAATTGGCAAGTGTCGTCTCGATGGAAAACTCAGATTGATTCTTGGAGCAAAATATTGGAGAACCAACTAGGGAGAAGCCATTCAACAGGAGCAAGTAAGGAGGAAGAGATCTACTGTTGTATAATGAGATAGGATTAATTAATGATCTCAGAGTAAAGGATCCTTTATGGAACAGTGATCACAGCATACTGGAAATGGTGATTAATTTGATCCCACACCAGTGTTCTGTTGTTAAACATAGGCATGAAGACAGATTTGGGCCCAGTGGACTGGGTAGAAAGACTAATAGGTGGAACAGTTGATGAACAGTGGCAGACACTGATGTTCAGTTGCTCCCAACTAAAATATATTCCAGCGGGGAAGAAAGATTGTAAGGGGGGAGAAAGCATCCATGTCTAAACAAGGAAATTAAAGATACCATAAAGGCAAAAACTAAGGCATACCATATTGTAAAGGTCAGGCTGGAGGCTGGAGGATTGAGGATTAGGAATCTTTTAAAGACCAACAAAGGCTTACTAAAAATGTAATAAAAAGAATGATGGTTAATTACAAAAGAAAACTAATGCAAAATATAAAAATGGATAGCAAAAGTTTCTGTAAGTATATAAAAAGGAACAGAGTAGCTAAGATGAATGCTGAATGTAGACTCAATAAGCTGAAGTGCCTCATCTGCCGCCCCGTCTACAAACAGCCTCCCCTGCAGCTTCAACAAAGCAGCAGTGTAAACATGACTTACAATGAGTTTGAGTAACTTGGTATTTAGAAGTGCAGCAATTCCTTCCACAATCCTTGGTTTTAAAATAGTCCTTTTCCTATTTCAGTCCACAATGAAAAATACTGAAAGATAAAGAGATACACTCTTTGTACAAGGAGGCACTCTCGCCTCTTAGAATTGGATTGGCTGATTTGATCAGTGTTCTGGGACAGGAGAGTATGACGACAAGTGAGTCAGGTAAAGGGCAGGATCACAGAAGCCTCGGCCTTTGTAATTGTCCAACAGGTTTGAGGAATTTTCAGTTTGTCTGGATGAGAGTGAAGGCTGCAGGATGGATGAGCAAACTGAGCATGCCACAGTGGTACAAGAAGCCATTCAACAGGAGTGAGTAAGAAGGAATGTTGTGGTAGTAGGAGATGGTATAGCGAGGGAGATTGACACCATCCTCTGCAGCAAGAAACATGAGTCCAGATGGCTGTGTTGCTTGTCTGGTCTCAGGGATTGGGACATCTATTCAGGGTTGGAGAGGAACTTGTCCTTATCTACCATCCCACCAGCATCCACATCCAGAAAATCTTGTTTCCACCACCTCCAGTGAGATGCTACAACCAGACACATATTCCCCTCTCCTCCCTAGTCCACCTTCCGCAGGGACTGTTCCCTCCTGGACGCCCTGGTCCACCTTCCTTTCACTCCCAACACCCTCAACAGTCCCATGCCACCTTCCCCTGCAATTGCCGAAGGTGTAACACTTGCCTATTTTCTTCTTCCCTCCTCAGTATCCAAGGGCCCAAATATACCATCCAGGTTAAGCAGTGCTTTATCTGCACTTTACATAATCTGGTCTACTGCATTCACTGCTCACAATGTGGTCTCCTCTACATTGAGGATATAAAGTGTAGACTGGTGCTGTATATTCCACAAACTGGACTGGTTTGATGATTCCTTCGCTTTCCAACCTTCTGATTTCTGTCTCTACTTTTGCCCACTAGGCAAATGGCACCAGGTGGGTCTTGCAGAATTGTGGAATTGCTTCCTGGTCAATATGTAACTCAGAGATAGTAAGAACTGCCAATGCTGGAGTCAGAGATAACAGTGTGGAGCTGGATGAGCACAGCAGGCCAGGCAGCATCAGAGGAGCAAGAAAGCTGACGTTTCGGGTCTGGACCCTTCTTCAGAAATGGGGGAGG